GAACATCAACCAATTCTCCAACACCGCTGGTTGCTCAACAATTCAATTCTAACACCATCCAGTTTGCACAGACCTTACAAGGCCAGGGCTCAGTCCCACATCACTGCCCCCACTACAGAGGCCAGTCACATGCACCAGGGACCCATCTATACTTACTGAGTGATTGCCTGTAAGTCTGGGACTCCCATAACCCCATACTCAAGTTCAATAATTTGACAGAACTCCTCACAGAACTCAGCAAAACATGTACCAGTTTGTTATAAAAAGTACATCTCAAAACAGCCAAATGGAAGAGCTATAAACAGTAAAGGAAAGTGGCAGGAGAAGATTGGGTGGGTAGGCAATCCTGGTAAATAGATGTGACTGAAGAAATTCCCCATCCTTCATATTCTCAAAGAATAGGTGAATGAAAAGAAACACTCTTCTAATTTTGACGTATGATGCTCCCTTTTTTTTTTTTTTAACCTATTACAAAGCCAGACACAGATTGCAAATTCCCATTTTTGTCTCATAAACAATCACCTGAACAATTCTCTTCAGTGGTAAAAAAAACCAAAAAACAAACAAGAAAAAAAACCTTGTTCACCAACCACTGCTTAACCCATTTATGCTGGAGGTGGCAAATTTTTTTGTGTGAAAAATCAGACCATGGTGATGACCCTCAGCAGTAGGGTTATCTAGTAGTAGGAAGTATAAATAACTCCCACGAGCTTAGTGCTCCAATAAGGAACACTAGGCATAAATGGGTTAGCTTCTCTCTTTCTAGCAGGCCCCAGAACTTTGATGCATACTCAGCCTGAGCCAGCAAATAACCCCTCTTTATGCCCCTCCTAAACACAGGCTGACCTCAGGGTGAAACATTCTCTGATCTAGGATCTAATTTTGGCAACTTTCATCCTGTTCTCCCGCTTCCACATTCTTTCTAGTCTTGTGTGTTCCCCCTTCAAATAAAGCCCTTTTCTGCCTAACATTTCAGATGATTGCAGATATAGTTGGTATTTTTCCCCTGTTGCAATACTCCTTTAAAATTAAGTAACTTTTTATGTAAATCTAAATTAGCTTTATTTGACAAAGTCTAGAAACAGCCCAGGACGACGAAATTTTATCCTCAGAAAGAGCTTCTGAACCCATCTTCCAACCCAACCTCATTTGCATCTGCCCATGGATCTCCCACTTTCCAGGGCTCTGTAGCTTCTCTCAATGTAAAGGACTCTGCCATGCTTGTGTGAGCAGGCTGGGACACCTGCAAGGGAGGCTCCTCAGGAAGAACTAATTGGGCCTTCAATGACTTTCTTTTGCAGGTTCAAGATTGGCCTTAACTTGGAGTCACTGGGCTCAGACTTCTACTTTCCAGTCAGGGCTATTCATTTAGTTTTAAATGAGAAAATGCCCAGTGTTTGAAGAATTCAGCAAAATCACTCAAAGACAGTGTTTATAAAAGGGAATAAAATTGTAAGACACATTTTACATTTCAAAAGGAAAGGCAAAAGTGTCTATTCCTTTCAGATACAAAAATGTCAATTAAATATTTCTGTAACAGATCATTTAGGAAACACTTACTAAATGTGAGCCCTTCTAAGAGGAGCCATGTCCCATCTCCTAAAACTTAGCATTGAATTTGGATGTCCAGATAATTGAATACAGAACATTTAATGTCACAAATCATCCACCCTGTAAAAAAGAGGAACTGATGTTTCATGAATCTATATAATTTACCAATTAATCTACCATACTGTCTTGTGAAATTGAATTTCCTATAGGCATACTGAAAAAGAGATGTTTCCTATTTTTTCCCCTGGTAGAATTCCCAAACTTAAGCCCTGAGATTCTGTTTGAAATCACCCTTAAAATAGAACAGAACTGAGAAACTACTACACTCACTCTGATGAAGAAAAAATGAGTTTTTTTAACAAATGAAATATATGACTACATATTTTCTTCCTAGAATTCACCACTTTCATGCCCTTCGTAAATATTTTCTAACCTTTCAAGCTCTACTGATAAAGTGTAATATATACTTAATAAGAAACTGATGATGAAATAAGTGAACAAATCTTTTTAAGGTGACAAATTCAGGGAGTAACAGTGCTACCTGGAACACAGACACATCCGACTCAAGCGTCAGATCAGGCTATCCTATAACCTGGGACATTCTCCCACCCCATTCTACTCACTGAAGTGGTCACTGACCACCCTGTCTGGAGACACTGCACTGTGCCTCACTGTGTGCTCCAGGGATGTTTTGCTTTGCATGTTCTCGCACCAGCTCACTGGAGTAGGTTTTGCTTGTCCTTTGGACTAGTTTTTCTCCCTTCACAAGTCTGAGAATACAGAGGGCAGAAATTATTTCTGTCTTTTCCCAACTCCACTGACGTGTCTCCAGACAATGAAATTGGGGGTTGGGAGAGAATGTCTAAGAGGTTAGCTTTTTAGATGAAGGGTGTACCAGAAGACTTCTCTCAGCCCCAGGACATCCAGCAGTTCCACTGAGAGGTTCCATCCCCATGCCATAGGCTGTCCTCTGGGAAGAAAAAAAACCCAGCAACCAAAATTCACTAGATACTCCAAGAGATATAGCCACTGTGGGCATCTTGGGTCATTCCCAGACAATTCTGAAACTCAGGACTAGGATAAGAATGGCTGACGGGCCAGGCGCGGTGGCTCACGCCTGTAATCCCAGCACTTCAGGAGGCCAAGGCAGGCGGATCGCAAGGTCAGGAGATCAAGACCATCCTGGCTAATGTGGTGAAATCCTGTCTCTACTAAAAATACAAAAAATTAGCCGGGCATGGTGGCAGGCACCTGTAGTCCCAGCTACTCAGGAGGCTGAGGCAGGAGAATGGCATGAACACAGGAGGCTGAGCTTGCAGTGAGCCGAGAGTGCACCACTGCACTCCAACCTGGGCGACAGAGAGAGACTCTTGTCTCAAAATAAATAAATAAATAAAAATAAATAAAAAAGAGTGGCTGAGGATACAACAAGCTGTAAAGTTTCCAAAGTGGAACCTCAACTCAAAGATATTGTACAAGGCATCTATGCCTAGGAAAGATAAAAGCAGAGTGCCACAAATATTTCTTTACAATAGAGTGCCAGGGGGTTCTTCTCTGCTTTTACAAACAGAAAACAAATCTTTAAAGAGTGCCACAAGCATGGGTAACTAGTGAAACCCAATCTCTGCAAAAAAATAAAATAAAAAGAATTAGCCGGGCATGGTAGCACACACATTTAATCCTAGCCACTCAGGAGGCTGAGGCAGAAAAATCACCTGAGCCCAGGAGTTGGAGGCTGCAGTAAGCTATGACAATGTCACTGCATTCCAGCAGCCTGGATGACAGAGCAAGATCCTCTTAAAAACAACAACAAGCCAGGCGTGGTGGCTCATGCCTGTAATCCCAGCACTTTGGGAGGGCGAGCGGGCAGATCACGAGGTCAAGAGATCTAGACAATCCTGGCCAACATGGTGAAACCCCATCTCTACTAAAAATACAAAAA